AAAGGTCAAGTTAATGAAGAGAAAGAAGAGGGGGAAGGAGAAAAGACACAAGGGAAGAAACCTAAGAGCCACAAGGAGGAGGGGATTAATCTAATTAATCTTCAATTTATGAGCTTAAAATACTCTACTAAATATTAATGAGCTGACATTTAGTAGAGGATATTAAAACTCACCAAAAAAAAACTCAACTTGTTTTGACCCCTCCCCTTGCCTACATCACTATTGGAAGGAAAAAATGTTATGCCTTCTTTCTCTTCTAATATGGGTCAAGCAGCCTAATAAAGCAATCACCAATCAAATGTAAGATAGACATAAATCTATGAATAATATCAATACTTGGATGACCCATGAAAACTTGTCTACTATTGAAAATGTAAATGGAGTTGCCAGTTTAGAAATCTTTGTTGCAGAGGAAATGACAGTGGCTTTACCCTGAAAGATGGGGAATTTTTTGGGAGGATGGCTTTACCCCGAAACCTTGCCTTTCAAAGATTGAATTGCATTTGGGAGGATGGCTTCATTAACAGAATTCCTCAATCTTCTCTGCAAATTTATGCCCTTGACCGCCTTCAATATTTTATAAATACGAAAGAGACTAATTCTTCCTTCTTCTATAGCTATTGTGGTTGGCGGGATACCTCCCAAAAAAACTTCTTTATCTCACCTTTGGTACTATTCCGCTTCACCTACCATAATTGTTCAAAGCCATTATTGATGGGGACATTAGCCTCTAGTTGAGGCAACTATTCTTGGATTACAGAGGGTCTTTCCAAGACTTTAGCTCGAAGGAGAGCATTAGCTTTTCTCCTGGATTTTCTGGAGATTTTGGTGCCCAAAGTAGAGGCTTTAGCATCGTGGTTTCTAGGGTGAAAAGCAAACTCTTCAAGAGTTTCAAGCTCGTTTATGCTCTGATTGGTTAGGTCAATAATGACTAACTTCAATTTGGGTCTGTAAGCTTTCTTCTTGGTTATTGGAACCATGACAGGCGCAATAGGCAACCTTGAAAACACGGAGACTCTTTTGGGAGTTTCTCCATTGGTAGTTTGTGGTGCTGCAGCTCTTTCAACAGTAACCTTCCTAGCCAGTACAGCTTCATCGATGTTGCTATCAGGATGGAACTTTATGACTTTAAAGAAGGTTCCGAACTGGAGAGTAGCTCCAACGTAGGCAGTACTGATAATAGCCAGAGGGAACTACACCTTTGATACCTCACCCAGCTTTCTAGTCATTATGGAATTAACAGGCGTCATATTTAAGCAACTTGTCACAGAACTTGTAGGGATTAGAGTCAACTTGAATTTCAAACTCTGAATTATGTTCAAAAGAAAATATGAACTTGAAATAAATGAACATCTATATCTTAGATGTTTGTAATGTGTAAGACCAAAATATAATATCTTTTGAAGATTCATCCAAAGGTAGAGAGAGAAGTAATTCCCAAGGGAGTCGCCAAGAATTTTTCGCACAAGAAAAATGGTGCTCAAGCGTGAACCCCATTTTTCTGACTTAGAATTCCATTTTTCTTAAGGCAGAGTGATTTTTAATTAACTAGGATTTCCCACAAGGATTATATCACGGCTTATTTAGATCTGGATTCTTATTACCTATGAGGGCAAGCCCTCATAGTTAATTGTCACACCTACTTCATATGAGAGAACTTTTGACTAAGGATGAATCACATTAGTGTAGCTTAGGACTCTCAAGTGTTAATCTCATTTGGGGGAATGGAAGGACCTAATCAAGATCCTATGATTTTGTTATCCCAAAAATATCGTAGATCTTAATCCTCCATCACTAACAATTCATTGGTTGTAACATCTAAGGAATCTGATTAGCAACCATAGGTTGCCTCATCTCAAGAATTCTAAGTAAAAGTTTGTGGTTTATGGCTACTTTAAGGAGTTTCCTAGGGCTTTAGATTTAAGATGGGGCTCACGGCACAGCTTAGGAGTTGCTCGTAGATTTGATTTAGAATGGGGCTTATGGCTCCGCTTACGAGTTGACTGTAGATTTGATTTAGGATGGAGGTCACGACTCCGCTTAGAAGTGGCCCATAGATTTGATTTTGGATGGAGCTTATGGCTCCGATTAGGAGTTGCTAGTAAATTTGATTTAGGATGGGGCTTATGGCTCCACTTAGAAGTTTCCCGGTAATTTGGCTTAGTTTGGGGCTTACGGCTCCGCTTAAGAGTTGCCCAACAATTTGGTTTAGTTTGGGGCTTACAGCTCCTCTTAGTAGTTGCCGGATAAGTTGGTTTAGATTTATGAATTACTTCTTCACTTGGAAGTTATTAAAACAGTAGGTCTTATAATTTCCCTTGAATGTTGTCTGTAATTTTTTGGTTTTGGATATAAGCCTTACAGCTTCCATTAGAAGTTGCCTATAATGTTTTTTTTTTTGGATAAATCTTATTGCTTCCATTGGAAGTTGCGTGCTGATTTAGGTTGGGATTAGTTACTTCACTTAGAAGTTTACCCAATTAATTAATTAAGAACAAGCATATCGCTTCTATTGGAAGTTGCCTATAGTTTACATTTAGGGTCAATTACTTCACTTATATGTTTTCCCCAACGAACTAATTAAGAATAGGATTTACTATTTTTTTAGAAGTTACCTATAGAATTAATTTAGAGTGAATTTTGACAGCAGTTACTTAATTTTTCTTTTTTCAAATTTCTTCTACCCCGGCACTATTGTTCTTGCTTCAGCACTTATCTTTTTTTGCTTCAGCATCTTTACATTTAACACTAGTTTTGTTAGAGCACTTTGACTTCTTCCTTAGCACTGTTGTTTTGTTAACAATACTAAATTGACATTTGTTTGTTTGTTTGCATGTATTTGGAACCCGCATCAGCTTTAAGCTTGAGTTTTAGTTTGAGTTTAGTGTTTGAGTCAGTGGGACTATTGTATGCAAACATTTATTTATAATTGTTTCTCTCTTTTCTTTAATTGATTGCACTTTTTGAAGTTAATTTATTAATTAATTAATTGAGAAAATTTTAATTCACAATTGTGTTTAATTTCAATTTAATTAATTAATTAATTAAAGTATTTTTATGATTATTCAAATAAATTAATTGATTATCAATTAATTTAACAGAAATTATAAACTTTCCTTGTGAACAACGAATTTAAATGCCTCTCAAGCACTCTCAAATTATTTTTTAAAACAGCTCTAAATATATTCTTTTAAAATCACTAATTTTCTTTTTTAAGTTAATTAATTAAAATTCTGCTCTTTATTTTCCTTGAAAATCCAATAGCCTCCCAGTGTCCCTCCATGGGAGGAGAGGTTGGGGCAACACATGTCGTTCTTCTTCTCGTCGGATCAAAGATACGACGAAGCAAAGTTTTCAAATTTAAAATCATCCCGCCCAAATCAAAAATACAATGGCGCAAGATCTACGAATTAAAATCCTACCCGGATCAAAGATACAATGGTGCAAGCCTTCACATTGGTGGTACCTATTGCTTTGTATTTTATTTTTTATTATTTTTTTATTACATATAGCTTTCTTAAAATTCCGGCAGCCTCCGTGCATTCTCTCCCCATAAAAAGAGACTAGGACAGCACTTGTCGTTGTTCTTCTCACCCGAATTAAAGATACGACGGCGTGAGGTCTTCAAACTACATATCATCCCACCCGGATCAAAGATACAACGGCATGGGGTCTTTAAATAAAAAACTTGCCCGAATCAAAGAATAAAATGGCGTAGGTCTTCAAATCGATGTACCTATTTGCTTCATTATTATTATTATTATTATTATTATTATTATTATTATTATTATTATTATTATTATTATTATTATTATTATTATTATTATTATTATTATTATTATTACATATATTTTTCTTATGCACAAAGGCTTCTTATATTCATGGGCGATTGAAGGCTTTGTTGGGCATTATAAAAGAGAAAATACGAGAAAACTCTCTGCACTTACATTTGGAAAAGACAAAACTAAGGTGAGGGGGAAATTGTGGTCGGAGCGGACTAAGACAATCCCACGAGCGGACACGTTTGCGGGTTATTCCTATTCGGGAACGGAGCCAGAGTTGGATCCAAGGCAAGGGCAATTTCATGCGGGAAGGCGTATGAGGAGTAAGAAAATCATGCGAGAGAAGGGCAAACGAAGCGACAGGTGCTCGGGTCGGATCGTTAACGGCTCGAGCTGGGGGCTTCTAGCGCTTGATCGCACAAGTGCAGACGAATGTGCAGGTGCTGGATCACATGGGTGCAGACGGACATGTGGGTGCTAGACCACGTCAGTGCTGGACCACATAGGTGCAGGAGAAAGTGCGGGTGGTTGTGTGGGAGGGAGTGCCCGCACAAGCAGACAAAGGCGTGGGTAGGTCGTACTCACGCAGGCTGATCGAGCGTGGAAAGGCCAATTGAACGAAAGTGTAAGTTTTTTTTTCCATTTCCTTGTCTTTTATCGATAGAATTGTCGAATGGGTGTGTTGCTTTGTGACGTGTTGCGTCTATTCGGATTTCCCGTTTCTTTTTTTTATAAATATCTTTTTTTTTATTAATTCAAGATATGTATATCAAGTTGTTGAAATAAAAAGGAGCGCAATAGTGATTACTATCGAGGAATCCTCATCAAATGGGTATCAAATATGTTCTTCTAACACCTAGAATGTTAAATTCTACACATTACTAAACTAAAAACTCCAAAACGTTCAAAGCAAAAATTGAAAAAGTAAAACTAAAAGCTTCAATGGGCTAAATCGATAGTGGGGAAAAAAAAGCAATGCAAAGTAAATGACATTCCTAGCATAGGATAAATATTGCTGGCAATTGAAAAACAAACAAAGAAAAGTTCAGCTACGATACAAGAAGCAGCATTTCTCACAGAAGCAGAATATAATGAATCAGACTGTCATAGCTACCACAAAACATGATAAAATGAAGTTGGACAAAGTACCTTATCAACATATATCTAATAAAAAAACTACAATTGGTGCTGTTAAGAATCACTGGTTGATTTACTTACATCATGGATGGAGCTGATTGCTTTAAATTGCACAGAATCGCTGGAGTCCAATGCACCATCTGTGGGAAAAAATGTTAAAACTTCAAAAGCTCTGACCATTTTACTACAATTAGGAAATATTACCTGCTTTGCCCATACAAGGTTCAATATATTCGGATGCTAAAGCTAACTCCGCCCAGCCAAGGTTATTGATGTCATGTAGGCTTAATTCTTTAATGTGAAGCCCGGTTTCTTTCTTTGAAAGAAATATACCTGAACCTGTTAAATAGAGATAAAATAGATAATTTTATTAAGAAGATGGGTTAATAAATATCTGGCATCCCCATGAAATCATTATAAATTTTAGAGAGTTAGATGAACGAAACTAAAAAAAGAAATATATAATTAGCTTTTAAGCAGATCCTGTGGCTCAATTGTAAGTACTCCCGGATCTCACGAGCATATGACCAATTAAATTTAAGTTACAACTAATTAAACTGTTAATTTACCTTCTAAGGGATTTAGTGTATTGTGAGTTTAGCTTTCTTGGAGCTAGTGATAGTTTAGATGAGATGTTAATTCCTTTCAAGTTGAAAGAAAACTATTTTAGTATTTTGATGGCACTATAGTATGTAGCTTACATATATACCATTGACATAGAAAATAGTACTTTATTGCTTTGCAATCCATAAACATAATGAAAAATGATGAATAGTGTCCGTAGACATAATAAATTATATATAATATTATGTTTCATGTTTATGGGAAGAAAAACTATGGATCAATCAACAAGTAGTGATGCGGGCAAAAAAATATAGGGGGAGCCTATATCTCTTGAACCCACAAAAGAAGAGGCAACGAAGCAACAAGATAGAAGGGAATCACTTAGAGATATTAGAACAAACTCTTACATTTTCAAACCTAAAATAAACTTAGAAATAAAAAACCTACAACTCTTTAAAATTTAAACGAGTAGCAAACAAAATGACACCATAAAATTGCTTCGCAATTAGAAGAGGGATACAGGTGGAGTGGCACTTGCAGAGAGATGAAAGAGATTAGAAGCCGAGAAGAAAGGTTGGAAAGAGCTCGCAAGATTTCTGGAGGGGATGAGAAAGAAGACTGACAAAGCTCGCAAGCTTTTCCAAGCAAACCCGCAGGTTATAGCTTTTCCAAAAATAACATTTCATTCACTTTTTTAAAACATAACAAGCCCCACATATTTATAGGTATAAAAGGGGAATACCAAAAGACACAAACATTGAATTCTCATTAGAATTCCAAACATCACAAACCATTAAACCCTATTGCTTTTCACGGAAAAACATCCCAAGCCCAAGAACCGAAGGAGCAACCATGGGAGCCAAGGAGGCCGCACGAAACCAAGGCGCCAAAGCCACTGGAAAACTCCCAGGCTCGGAAAACCAGCAGCCGGCCGGAAATCCAAGGGGCAAAGGCACGGAAAACAGCAGCCCATGGTGGAAGCCAAGGAGCCACGGCATGGGAAAACGAAACAACTTTTTTTGGGATTCAAAGAGACATCATAAATAAAAATAATAAAAACTACTATAGAATAACCCATTTAATAAAGATAAATATGAACTAAAATTGTTAGCTTAATAATGAAGCTAACCCTTAGTTCAATAAGTAAACTAAAGACCAACTCATAAATGAGCTAAAATTTCAGCTCATTTTGATTAAGCTTGTAACTCAAGGGAAGCCAATAATAAATTATTTTGGGCTTGAGTTGACCCCCCCCCGCCCTCCCCTTTGTCTACATCAAGTAGACTACAAGATATAGGTGACTTTCTCGATGAGGATAAGTTGAGGCTTACTTAAAATGAAAGTTAAATCAGATTTTAATTAAGTTTCCATGGGGGCCCACTAATTAAGCAAAAATTCTTCTCTTTTTCCCTTGCTTTGACCGCCTCCCACCCTATCGTGTTTCTCTCCCTTGCCACCTGGCATCTAGTATTACCTTCTTAAATTCCCCCTAATATAGTCTGCCCCCTCTTAATTTAATTTAGGGAAGTTTTAATAATAAAATAACTTCTCCCTCAAGCCTATAAAAATCTGAAATTACAAATTCCAGATTTTTTCCTTGCATCTCCCTAGCTCACGGCCCAACTTTCCTCCTTTTCTTTCTTCCCGCCTACCTCAATGTTGAATGGCGGATCCTGAATTTGAGTCGGGGGTTGTGTTCAACGCCGACGATAGCCTCACATCCTCCGACCCGTTCTTTGACGCGGGGTTTTGAGCATGAAGACAACAGTTGGCGAATCCTTGAAGCGAATTCTTCCATCACTTGTGCGCGTCATCGACCGACAGTTTCAAGACTACGTTTGGACGATCACCGGGCGCCATCCACCACCACTTCCACCGGCGGCTACCTCTCCGATAACGAAGTCCTTCGTCACCTTTTTCGTAGTGGTGCTCTCCATCTTCGTGTGGTTCTTTTTTCTCCGCTAAAAGCTAAAGAGTGAACGAGTGAGAAGGTACTCAAGGTGAATTTTCTCATTATTAATTATGGGATTTTTGTTATGAGCATTTAAGTATTTCTTTTATCTTTGAATGTTATGAATTGTTTGGTTATCTCAAAGCAACTCTTTGCCTAAGCAAGTTGATTATCTAGAATACTTTTAATCCTTCCTTTTATTGGTGATAAATTTGTATTGGCAGCGCTCTAATTAATCTTCATTTTAATTTCCGCACGCAATTCCTTCATTGTTTCACATCAGGCCTACTCCTAAAAACATTAGCGAACTGAGAAGGTTTCATGATCTAGCTTTTTTCTATCGTAAGTTCATTGAAAACTTCAGCTCTCTAATTGCTCATATCACTGATTGTTTAAAAAAGGGAATCTTTAAGTGGACACCTGAAGCTGAATAAACTTTTCAACTAATCAAAGCAAAAATGAGTCAAGCTTCAATCCTTAGTCTGCCAAATTTTGATAAAATCTTTGAAGTTGATTGTGATGCCTCGCATATTGGTATAGGAGCTATGCTTAGTCAGGAAGGGAAACCCATTGCATACTTTAGTGAAAAGTTAAATGATTCTTGATCAATATATTCTACTTACGACTTGAAATTTTATGCAATTGTTCAAGCTTTTAAATTTTGGAAATGTTATTTGATTCAAAGAGAATTTGTTTTAAACACTGATCATGAAACTTTGCGATTTTTGGGTTCTCAAAAAAATCTAAACAAAAGACATGCCAAGTGGACCTCATTCCGCAAGAATACTCATTTCATATTAAGCATAAAATTGTGGTGCTAAACAAAGTGGCTGATGCTTTAAGTAGGAGATCTCATCTTTTGGTAACATTTTATCCAACCATAACTTTCTTCGATTTCTTAAAAGACACCTATGCTAATGATCCAGGTTTTAAGGATATTTGGGAATCTTGTCTCACTTCATGAACCGATATATCTGCCAATTTTTCATTCAACAAGGTTTTTTTTTAAAGGTTCTAGACTTTGCATTACTAAAAATTCTTTAAGAGAACTTGTGCAGGAACTTCATAGTGGGGGCATGGGTGGGCATTTTGGTCATGGGAAAACTATTGCTTTAGTGGAAGAAAAATATTTATGGCCTCATATGAGAAAGCAAATTGCTAAGCTGGTGAAACAATATAAAATCTGTCAAGCTTTCAAAGGAACATCTCAAAACACTAGTTTGTATACTCCCCTCCTAATTCCAAATAAACCGTGGGAAGATATTTCTATGGATTTTATGTTAGGGCTGCCAGTTACTACACGAAAATATGATTGTCTTTGTCGTTATGGATCGATTTAGCAAAATGGCACACTTTATTCCATACAAAAAAACTTCTGATGCTTCATATGTTGCTGACTTGTTTTTTAAAGAAATTATTCGTCTCCATGCCATACCCCGAACATTTACTTCTGATAGGGATACTAGATTTCTGAGCCACTTTTAAAGAACACTTTGGGCGAAGTTGGGAACTACTCTTCGGTTTAGTAGTGCTTATCATCCACAAACCGATGAGCAAACTGAAGTTGTCAATCGAAGCTTAGGAAATTTACTGATATATCTTGCTGGTGAGAAATCTTTCCAATGGAATTTGATATTACCCCAAGCTAAGTTTGCATATAATAATTCTGTAAATATATCCACTGTAAAAACTCCCATTGAAATTATTTATGATCAGCCTACACCTCACATTTTGGATAGAATTGTTGTCCTTTACCTAACAAAGTTAGTGTTGAAGCCACAGAAACTATTGATCATATCAAATCAATCCAACAGCAAGTCCTTGAAAAACTCCGTATGGTAAATGTTAAATATAAATCTAATGCTGACAAACACCGGAGAATTATATTTTAAAGAGGGTGATTTGGTTATGGCTTATTTTCGTCGTTAGCGATTTCCTATTGGTAATTTTGGCAAGCTAAGCAGAAAGAAATTTGGGGCTTTTCGTATTCTACGAAAATTGGGCCTGAATGCCTATTTCCTGGATCTTCCTATCACTGTTGGAACTTCTCATGAATTTAATGTTTCTGACCTTTCTTTGTATGAAGGAAATTCAGATGATTCTGTAGCGGTTGAGACTTTACCAATTTCCACTTTAGTTCTAAACAAAAATGATCAAATTAAAGATATTGACATCCGAATTTCTAAGACTAGACATGGCGAGCACAAAAGGTTCTTGGTTAAATGGAGCAACTGTCCATTAACTGAATGTACATGGATAGATGCGACGAAGTTAAAAAATCGTCATCCAGATCTCTATCAGAAAGTTGTTGAAGCCTTCTCATCACGAGATGAGATTCTCCCACCATGGGGGAATTGATGCATGCAAATTTCAATTTTTTGTTTAGTTTTTATTGTAATTTGAATGCTATAGTTTTTTTTTATACTACCCTATGATGAAAAACATCCGATGATCATAAGTAGGTAGGGCTTGAGCTTAGCAATCTCTGGGTGTGTTAGCTATCTTGGTGCCTTAGCTCTTGGGCTATTGGGGGGTTCTCAGTTTGGGCTTGGCTGCTCGATTTTTTGCTGTGTTTTTTAGGAGCTGCTATGTTTCAGCTCATTAATGCTGAGTTATTGTTTTCAAATCATTATATTGGGTAGTTCTCTTACTTTTTAGCTCATTATGTGGAGTGGTTACTTACTCTTTCCCCTTCTCTGTGGCCCTTCGATTTCCCCCTCCTGGTTCCCTCCCCCTTTGGTTGCTTGTTCCGGTTCCCTGTGGTGTCTGTTCTTGTCTCACGTGGTTGCCTTTCCGGATCCCTGTCTGGCTCTTCAGGTGCTGC